AGGATTGTAACTTTTTTTTTTTTTTTTTTTTATGGTTGAACTGGATGAACTTTTGTCTTTTTTCAGCCAGACTAACTATGTAACTATGTAAAAAATATGGGTTTGATAAATAGTTGTGCTAATATCATGTGACATAAAAAACTGACGCTATCGACCATTTTATTCTCAAGGGTCTCTGTTTTAAAAAAATATATAATGTTTTGAGAGTTTTAACTAATCTTCAGGACTAATATGTACATATTAACATTTGTGCAAAAAAGGCTCTGGCATCGAGAGAGCCAAAGGTCATGTTGTGCATTATGATTTTTTTAAATTCTTCTGGCAAATCTGCAAATCTGCACTCCAGGACTGAATATCACAATCTCACAGGATTCACCTTGATTGCATAGTAATGGCAAAACTGAACCTCATCTCTAGTAGAAATAATGTGAAAAAAAGTTATTCAGATTGAGGCAATAGTTTTCTATAGTAGTTTATATAACTGCAATACTCAGCTATTGTTGTTTCTATTTCTCTTTTAACCACTTGCCATCCTGAGGATTTACACCCCTTAATGACCAGGCCTCTTTTTGCTATTTGGCGCTGCACTATTTCAACTGATAATTGCACGGTCATACAATGCTGTACCCAAACCAAATTTACGTACTTTTTTCACACAAATAGAGCTTTCTTTTGATGGTATTTTATCACCTGTGCGCTTTTTATTTTTCGCGCTACAAACAAAAAAAGACCGAAAATTTGGAAGAAAAACTATATTTTTTACTTTCGGCTATAAAAAAAATATATAGTAATCTCAAAGTTAGTTATAAATTTAGGCCAAAGTTTATTCTGCTACATGTTTTTGATAAAAAAAATCTCGGTAAGTGTATATTGATTGCTTTGTGTGAAAGTTATAGCATCTGCAAACTATGGTATAGATACTGCAGGTAGTCAGGAAGTGTAATGAGGAAATAAAGCCCTTTAAAAGCCTGAAGGTGCTTATTGGATTTTGGGGTCCTGTACTTGGCTAGGCTGCCTAAAAGACTCTTACATGTGGTACCCCCATATTCAAGACAAGTAGCAGAATGTATTTTTGGGAGTAATTCCACATATACCCATGGCATGTGTGAGCAATAAATCATTTAAGTAACAATTTTGTGTAAAAAAAAAATATTTTTTTTGTCATTTTCCAAAAACTTGTGGTAAATAAATAAATTATTCTATTGACTGAACATGCCTCTCAGTAAATAGTTTGGGGTGTCTACTTTCCAAAAAAGGGTCATTTTGGAGGGTGAGGACATTTAATGCCCAGCATTAGAAGTGTATGCCACACATCACTCACTCTTCTAACCACGTGAAGACCAAGCCTTTTCTGACACTTTTTGTTCACATGAAAAAAATGTGTATTTTTTGCTAGGAAATTGCTGCAGTTTTTTATGTCACATAGTACTCGCTTTTTTTCAAACACAATTTTTTTTTTAAATACAATTTTAATGCACAAAAACACAATATATTGGCCAATTATTTGGTAAAAATATAAAAGATGATGGTATGCTGAGGAAATAGATACCAAACATGACATGCTTTAAAACTGTGCATGCCCCGTGCAATGGCAACAAAATGCATACATTTTTAATATCCATAGGCAACGTTTTAAAAGCCTTTACAAGCTACTATTTTAGATTTACAGAGGAGGTCTAGTGCCCTTGATCTAATGTTTACAGCGATACCTCACATGCATGATACAACCACTGTTTACATACCGGCACAGTGTCAATGCTCGCGTGCGCACCTGCATACGTGAGTGTTGACCCTGTGTCAGTATGTAAACCGCAGTCAACGTTTTTGTTTTTTTTTTATCGCTTTTAATGCTATCAAAGGGAATGCAAATATCCCCTGTAACTTCAATGGGCATTGTCATATATTCTTTTTTGATAAATCTGAGGTCTATCAGACTCTAGCTATCTCCTCTGCCCTTACATTATCTAATCTCACCAAGATCGGTTTGATCAGATGCTTTACCAATTTAAAAATGGCACTGTTTATATCCTGCAAAACTCAAGTGATGAAATGCTTGTAGCTTCCGATTTCTTAGACTATAGAGATGCTTGGCACCATTCCGGTCTCCAATCAGCTCTATGGTCAGCTGGCAGAAACACCTGCTGCATTGCGTCAGGTTCCCCCCGATGGCATGGGACTGCCCCAGAAGGCCGTGGAAGGCAGTGGGGGAGGGGCGGCATCGTCTTCCGCTGCTTGTAAAAGCAATCCTGCAGCTAATTAGTCTGTAGGATTGCTTTTACATGAAATTTGATTGCTGGCTGAAAAAAACGATACCAGAATGAGGCCTGCAGCTGTAGCCATAATCCTGGTATAACCATTCAAAGTCCAGTGATTTGCCATTATCTCGCTGGTCCTTGTTGGGTATATATGCTATGTTCTTTTTTCTTTTTTTGTATGCAGCCTGTGGGCTAAATAAAAAAAAGAGAAAAAATCTCTACCAGAAAAAGTGTGTTTTATGCCCGCCATTAGAATATACTGCCTTGCATCCACCCACTTCTAATGGTGGGCACATGTTAGGTTGCACGGTGCCACATGCGCCAATTCCAAGATTGTACAAATGTCTAAATAGTGGCATACTTGTAAAAACATTGTCTACGTATAAGTGGTAACCCATATGGAAAAAGTATGACACCAAGTCCCAAACTATCTTGCCACTGCTCCCCATGTGGGGGGCTCTACTTGACTATCTTTTCCCTTGTAAATCCGAAACTTATATGTATAGCCTGTTGCCCTCTCACTGGTCCTTTACATCTTAACTTGAAAAAACATTGTCCACATATAAGTGGTACCCCATATGGAAAAAGGATGACACCAAGTCGCAAACTATCTTGCCACTGCTCCCCATGTGGGGGGCTCCACGTGACTATCTTTTCCCTCGTAAATCCGAAACGTATATGTATAGCCTGTTGCCCTCTCTCTTGACCCCATATCTGGCACGCTTGCTAGGGAAAAATTGTTTGAATGCAAGGTGGCCAGAAAAATGAATGAGGGACTCATCAACTCAATTTTTTTGCTGGGGAGTATAGACAAATTTTTAGTTAAGGTGATTTACGAGGGGACAAATTTTGTGGATCCAGTCAAATTCAGGGGCACACTGAGGATGACAGAGTGTATTGTCATTGAATTGCATAAAACACATTATACTCTCATATCTATGCCTGGCCATGGCAGCAGAGAACAGGGACATATGATGGATCTGGTCTGTGGACCAATACAACCGCAGTTAATTTTTTTAGTAATGCCCATGTTGAGGGTTAGGCCCAAAAAAAATTACATTCGGAAACTGTAATGGGTTTCCATGCGAATGTTCTGGCAAGGTTTGAATTTGGGTTGGCAGCGATAAATTGTTGCGCATATAAATTGCTTTGATCCACAATCAATGTATACAGAAATTCCATGAAAAACAGTTCCAAAAAATGAAAGGGGAGTAGTTACATTTGCTGTTTCCACGTGAATTCCGGGTTGAGCAGTGAATGGGGGAAGGACGAGTGCTGCAGAATTTGTGGGCTGTCAATTGGGATTTGCAAGCACATCTGGAAGGATACTAGCGGCTCTACGGGCCTGTGTGAGAATTCTTGGTGGTTGCGGGACAATACTTGTGGTCGCCACTGCACCAGCATTTATGGGACTCGCCACGTCACCAAGTGATACTGCAGTGCTGGTATGTGAAAGACCAAAATGTACTAGGCTGCTGGTGCTTGTCAGTTCACCAAAAGGTAGAGCGGCACTAGTACTGGCACTCATATGAGAGTCATCATAATTTACCGGCAAGTGCTAGCAGAGATCAGGCCTGATATGATTCCTCATTGTTCTCATGATCATTGACACTCCACGAGGTGAGATCTTTTGTGTTTCTTCCATTTGTGAATGATTGAACCAACTTTTATCATGTTCTCACCAAGCTGCTTGGCGATAGTTTGGTAGCCCAGTCCAGCCTTGTGTAGGTCTACAATCTTGTCCCTGCATGCTTGGACAACTCTTTGGTCTTTGCCATGGTGGAGAGTTTGGAATCTGATTGTTTGATTGCTCCTGTGGACAGGTGTCTTTTATACAGGTAACAAAATTAGATTAGCAGCACTCCCTTTAAGAGACTCCTCTAATCTCAGCTTGTTACCTGTATGAAAGACACCTAGTAGCCAGAAATCCTGTTGAATGATAGGGGATCAAATACTTAATTCCCTCAAAAACATGCAAATCAGTGCAAAATTTGTTAGACATGCATTTCCTTTGATTTTTTTTGTTGCTATTCTGTCTCTCAGTGTTACAATACACCTAACATTCAATTTTTAGACTCATCATTTCTTTGTGAGTGGGCAAACATTCAAAATCAGCAGGGGATCAAATACTTATTTCCTTCAATGTACTAATAATACCAGCGATCAGCGACTTATGGCGGCTATCTACGACTTATAGCAGGACTGCGGTGGGCTTTCTGACACTGGGGGGAACTGACTTGGTGTCATTCCCAGTGACACCAATACAGTGATCAGTGCTAAAAAAAAAAAAGCACTGACACTGTACTAATGGCACTGGGCAGGAATGGTTTAACATGAGGGGCAATCAAAGGGTTGACTGTGTGTATTTTACTAGGGGGGTGGGGGGTGTTCTTCACTGTAAGCACACTGTTCTGGATGGCTCTGCTCAGCCTTCCAGAGAAGTGTGCTTACAGGACCCGGTGATTGACACCCAGGGCGCAGGTAGGGCGCGCGTACCCCCTACTTGGAAATGCAGAATGATGTGTATATATACGTGATCCTGCGCACGGGGGCTGCCCTGTAGCAGTAAATCTTCTATAGGGTGGTCCTTATGCAGTTAAGAAATAATTTAGTGAAGGTAAAATAGGACATATTTCATGTTTGGATTCTATATGGTACACTGAAAAATAAGCCACTTCGTAAAAGATTAAGAACTTCACATACTGTTCTGTTTTTACAGGTAAAGAACACTCACTTATAAAAAGCATGTGTCAGAACAATCAGACCAAGGTTTCTGAATTTGTGCTTCTTGGAATAAGCAGCTTCCATGACTTCAAGATTTTGATGTTCGCTTTTTTCCTCATTCTCTACACTGCAATTTTAAGTGAAAATTTTTTTATTGTCCTACTGGTTTCGATCAGTCACCATCTTAAGCGTCCCATGTACTTTTTCTTAAAAAATTTAGCTATTGCTGATGTTCTGGCCACCTCAAATGCTGTGGCTCCCCTGCTATTTGGTATAATAAGAGAAAGGGGAATCATATCTGTATCTTATTGTATATTTCAGTATTATCTACTTTGTTTTTCAGGATTTGCACAGTCCTTTCTTCTTACTATTATGTCAATTGACAGATATCTGGCCATTTGCAATCCCTTACGTTATGTCACAATAATGAATATGAAAAATTGCCTCTATCTTGTCTGTTTATCTTGGTTAGTTGCCTTTACATTGATAACAAGCGAAATAATTATGATGTACCATTTGCAGTTTTGTGACTCCAATATCATTGACCATTTCTTTTGTGATATTGGTCCAGTGACAAAGATTTCTTCTTCAGATACATTTGTATTGTTATCTTATGACTTTGTGCTATCTATGTTCTTTATATTTGCTCCTTTTATCCTTGTTATTATATCCTATGCTGGCATCATCATAACCATCATAAAGATGTCCTCTGTTATTGGAAGAAAAAAGGCTTTTTCTACTTGCAGCTCTCATCTGGTTGTTGTATGCACTTACTATGGAACCCTGATAGCAATATATTTAGTGCCATCTTCAGGAAATTTGTCAGAAGAAAACAAATTTAGAACTTTGCTATACACTGTATTAACTCCATTGGTCAATCCAATTATTTACTGCCTTAGAAACAAAGATATTAGGAGTGCCATGAACAGACTCTTTCATATTCAAAAGAAAACATAATCTGAGAATATACAACACATATGAATTTGCTAAATACTATGGGGTCTATTTATAAATATTTTCACACAATATGTACTCATCTTTACCAATGAATCACACATTTTTGTAATTGGAATCAATTATTTCAAAAACAATTCTACACTCTCTAAGTCACATATTCAGTCTATTCCTCCTACCTTCCCTACCTAATCCTAAAACATTCACAGGTAACCACCTTACTGAAAAAGCCCTGACTGGAACCAACATGTTTGAACAATCATAAAGTGGTATTAAACTCCAAACTAAAAATGTAATATATTGCAGCTTTCCAATCCTTAGATGTGTGCATTGCATACTAGCATATTATGAGAGAATTGCCTTGAAATAAAACCCTCCAGCGGCACACTTTCACCGCTGAAAGGGCTATCATCTTACACTGGTCTTCGTTCCGAGTTCATGGGCTCTGGTTGTTTGAATGGCCAATCCCAGGGCCCAGAGGAGAGAGATCCGTTTCCAGACCCCACCGCAGCTTACCTTTAAATGGGACCTCTGATTGACATCCAAGCATCCAGATCCATAGAGGAGGTTTTCCATACCAGACTGCATCTTGTTCCATTACAGAGGGGACCTCTGGCTGTTATATATAAACAAATGCGCATGTAAATTGCGCTTCTGGTGAGTGTGATAGGTGAGTCACCTATCTGGAATATTTATCTACACCTACATTGAACTATTTATCATTATTTATCATTTTTATTTTGTATGCAGTCCCTTTTGGGATATTTAGTATCTTTATATTTATCCACATTCTAGTCGGACAGTTTTCTATATGCAGATCTACGTATCTTTACTGGTGATTTGATTATAGCTATATGCGTTTTCTTTCACTTATATTGCTGTCACCCATTATAGTGCTGCACTACGTGATATACTATGTGTTTTTATTGCTTATCTTACACGTTTTGGCAGTTTTATTGGTTTTAGTACTGCATTATAACCTTGTGCAGGTTGTGCGTTTATATTGGTATTTTATGCATTTACGCCATTTATCATTTTTAGCGCTGCACTACATTTTTACTATTTGATTTTAGAAGGTTTGTGGTTTCCTTTTAGTGTATCATCTGCTATTTTTAAGCACTCGCTGAGTCCCATTTTTTAAAACTCCGAACACCATTTGCCAGACCAAATTCAATAGATTCTGTTGCATCTGTAGACAACTGGAAAATGCTCATCTAAAACCAATTCCATCTGCCACACAGAGCTAACATTTAAAGTTAAAATAAATTTGTGCTATAACCAGTTGACACCTTTTTAGCTTCTAACAAAACCAGCATGCCAATAAGGGAATTTAACGCCTGAGATGAGAATCACCAAGACCACTAGTGAAATTCTGCTCATAGGCTTAATTCTTGATACAAACACCAAAAGCCCAAGAACGACCAAATCACATAAACAGTAAACTAGTTTCCAATAAGGTGGTTCTGAAAAGATACACTGTCTTTTGCAGAAGTCTAAAACCACATCCTGGCATACTCTATAAAAAACACCCAAGAAATTAAATGTGGAAAAAGGCAGAACTGTGCCAAAGGGTCATAATATGTTGCATTAACTATCAAACTGGAATACCAGGGGATCACTTTTCCCATGCTCACTGGATTCTGATTTTAAGAAGAAACTTCCTATCAGGCAACAGTGTTTTGCAAATCAGATTTCTGTAACACTGTAGCAGAAATGCACTAAGATTTACTAAAAGAAAAGCAAAGCCCTGTATGAAATTGAGGAGCACTGGAAGATGTAGATCTCTATTGCTGAGCCACAGAGGGAATAATGTAGCTACACCAAAAGCCTTCCAATGCTTTACTAATGAATATTCATGCTGCTTATCAAGAAAATAAATTTGAGATGAAGCAAGAGAAGAATGACCAAGGAGTAACAAGCTTCTGACTAAAAGCAGAGAATAAATAAAAAGATTTAATATCAGATTTGACTTAAATGGTATCTGGACCATATGATCTAATCACAAAAAGAGCTTAATATACGATAAATTTAGGTATATGAATGAGAATAGGCTATCGTCAATTAGATCTATAAAGAACAAGAACCCTTAGGAACTGACAAATGATTAAATTCATTGGATTCATTGGATTCAAACCTTAGCCTAATTCCTGTAAAAGGAGTAAACAAAAACCTGCAGAAAAGCCAGTAATGATAAACTGACTGATTAGCCCGTTAGGCTGGCCATACAATTTTCCAGCACTACTTTTCCCCGGACTCACCAAAACCAAATAATACGAGGTCAAACTTAAACACTTTCAATTTGTAGGCTCTTGCACTACAATACATAGTCCAAGGCAAATCTAAAGGAAATTGAACAAGAAAATTGTACAATATATGGCCAGCTTTAGGCACACATGTGACCACACAATTTCCCCTAACAATCAGTTTTATGATAGCAATGACAGGCTTGAACCCTGGCATGCAGTATACTGGACAGGAGCACTAACCATTCTACAACAGTGCATGCAATAACTGCAGCAAATTAAAACACAACTAGAAAAGCTACAATTTCTGGGGAAATTGGGTGAAGTGTTCTTGCCTCCACCAGTAGTCTACAACTGGAGTGGGCGGAGTAACTGGGTGGAGTGGCTTGAGTACCTGTTGTGTGGTTGGAGTGGCTGGAGTAACTGTGAAAAGGTTGGACGGGGCAGAGTAACTTTATGGAGTGGGCAGAGTAACTGTGTGGAGTGTTTGGAGTGAGTAAAGATAGTAAACATTACACTAACCAATTGATTGATCAAATTTAAAAAGTGCATATGGCAAGCTTGATAGAGTGAGAAATGCATTTCAACTTTTAATTATTTATTTAGCACATTTAATTGCAATGTTGTTGCCCAAAGTGCTTCACAGTTTCATTAAAACATACATTTATAAAAACATTAGCAGCATTATCACCTCAAATACTTTCTACTGTAGAAAACTTATTTCCAAACCTTTAACCAGAAGCCGGCCAAACTGTCACAAATTCAAAATTAGATTTCAAATAGGGCAGAGAAGAGCGGTTAAAAACAAACTGCTCCAAATTGCTCACTTCACTGGCGTCTTCAAATGGTCGTAGTTTTAAAAAACTATAAATCCTACAGAGAAGAGCTTTATATTGTGAGAATCACAAGACCCAGACCTACATTTTGATGCATAGTATGTCTCTGAAATATTAAAAATGAAGGCACAGTCGCAGTTTAGAAATTGCCCTTCAAATTTGAGATGGCTAAAGTGCAGTTTCAATGAATGTCAATGGGCGGCGTGAGTTGCAAACAAATAGTCATATTGTGAAAACTATCAGGACTATGGCTTAACTGTGGACATGTTTAGTGGCAGCAGGGATAGCTGAACATTTTGATATAAGATTTGTGTAGGTGGGCTTAAAAATGAGGGAGTGATGGCAGTTTATAAATCATGTCCTGATTTTTTAGCTCACACTCTAGCTTTTGTCAGCTCCCACTCTATTTTTGAACATTCCGCTATTCATTCCTATGGGACCAATTTCACCACAAAAACGCTGATTTTTGTGAACCATTCGGGGAAACGTTCCACAAAGTAATAGCACACCAATCGGGAACAATCCACACGTTTCAGTATATTACTGTCTATGTAGTGTAAAAACTGTGAGAGGAGTTAGGGTGGTAAATTTGGCTATAATAATAAGAATATATATGTAAGATAACAGTAAGTGGTCTTGTCACGCAAGAACACTTAATAAAGACATTTCACAGTTCAAATGTGTGAAAAGTGAAATATAAATGAAAGCGCTAGAGAGCTGAGAGTGAACATGAAGGCATGGCTAAAGGCTGACAGACAGAGCACACTGAGTAGGGAAGACACTGACAAAAAGGAGACTGAAGAAGACAGTGCAGAGTGAAGTCTGTCTACATTCCCAGCCCTCAGAACCTTCACTCGCCCCTAGCCTATGATGATGATGATGAGGGTCCTTTTGGAGAAGTGTCCATCAGGCTGTTGGGCCATGGTAGCAGCTTCAGACCGGCTGCCTACCTGGCTCAAAGTGGCAGGAAGAGTGGCGCTGTGGGCATCTTAAGAAAAGTAGGGCCACCTCGGCCTGCATATTCTTCCATAGTAGCTCCTCCCCTGTTGGCCTGTTTGCTGACACTTTGAAGTCATCCTCTTCTGGTCCTTACCAAGTCCAAATGGCCACCTGATCCCAGTGGTGATGTGATGCTCAGGTACGTCTGGTCCAGCCTCATGGTCTTCTTCATCTGCTTGTGCAGATGCACGGTAGATGAACGGTCGTTCACTCCGTTTGCCTTTTACTCTGAGAATGGTAGGCAGACGATAGGCAGAGTTTCACCTTCAGGGCCTTGCAGAACCTGGAATTAAACTGCACCCCTCGGTCTGAGACAATATTACTGGGCAGACCATGTAATCTAATGATCTCTTTGATCAAGGTGAGTGCAGTCTCTGGCGCAGATGGAGTACCCACCATTGGTAAGAAGTGGGCCATCTTGGATAGCTGATTTACTACTACCAGAATGGTAGCAAACCCCTCAGAGGGCAGCAAGTACACAATGAAGTCCATTGCGACCATCTCCCAGGGATGATCAGGAATGGGCAGGGGCCTCAGTAACCCCCAAGCCTTGGTTTTGTCTCCCTTGCTACGCAGACACACTGCAAGATTTCACATAGGCTCTACAGTCTTGATTCAAGTTGGGCCACCAAAAGGATCGCTGGATCAGTTCCATTGTTTTACGGGCTCCAAAGTGTCCAGTCAGTTGATGATCATGGAAAGTCTTGAAAATTTGAGATCTTACTTCTTGGGGTGCAAAGATCTCATCCTTGTGCCAAAGAAGACCATCCTGCCTTCTTAACGAGTCTTGTTCAGGTTCAGAACATAGTGCAGAGGCTTTCTTGATCGAAGACTTTAGGCTGGGTTGAATCAATAAAAAATTTGGGCCAACAAGATGGTGTTGGGGGGAGAAGGCTCCTCTGGGCCGGGAAAGAGCATCTGCCTC